TGACATTTAATTTATCTCAGAATAACCAGCAGGGTCCATTTAATTTCTCAATGGTGTGAAAAACCTGGCAGTGGCCAAAAAGTTGGTTTGGAAAGAAAATAAAAAGTAGAGCCTGTCAGAGTGAAATTAAAGTTTTCCAAAAAACAATACAAGATTTTATTACCAAGCTATTGATTAGTTGCTACCAGATAGAAAGTTAAAAAAAATCAAATCACTTCTAACATCTTAAAGGTAAGTATATCACTCATATAGAACTTTCAAGTGAGCCAGAAAATTGATTTCCTACCTGTGAACCTCTTGTCAGTACATGCAAAAACTGAATGCCAAAAAGTCTAGCCATTTCGCTGGTTTTCCCAATCAGGTCGAGCTGTTCTAACATTTGGAGATTTCCACGGACACGGCTAACGTAATGATCAACCATTTTCCATCTGTTAAAAAAGAATCCATTGCTATGAATATCAGGGAAAAATTTGGGCATCTGAAACTAGTACTGTTTTTTTTTTCCTTTTTTTTTTTTGAGACAGTGTCACTTTTGTTGCCCTCAATAGAGTGCCGCGGCGGCACAGGTCACAGCAACCTCAAATTCTTGGGCTTAAGTGATTCTCTTGCTTCAGCCTCCCAAGTAGCTGGGACTACAGGTACCTGCCACAATGCTCACTATTTTTTGTTTGTTTTAGTGGGTCTGGACCCTAACCACTGAGCTACGGGAGCCCAGCCTAGTACTATTTTCTATCAACCACCTATACATTAAAGCAGGCGCCGAGCCCTGATATTAGCTTTAAAAACTATAGGTATTCAAATAAATATTTGTTGAATGAATGCGTGAAATAATTTTCAGTAAGGTGTTTGGCAAAAATCTCTTATAACCTTGGGAAATTATTTATAGAGATACAAATTAAATGATTTCTAAGGTTCCATCCTTTTGTTTGAAACACCAGAGCACAGTGGTGTGATCACAGCTCACTGCAACCTCATACTCTTGGGATCAAGTGATCCTCCTACTTCAGTCTCCTAAGTAGCTGGGACTACAGGTGTGTACTATCACATCTAGCTAATCTTTCTATGTTTTGTAGAGATGGAGTCTTGCTCTTGCTCAGGCTGGTTCTGATCTTCTGACCTCAAGCAACCCTCCTACTTCAGGCTCTCAAAGTGCTAGGATTATTAAAGTAGCTGTGAGCCTCTGTGTCAGGCTCTCTTTTTATCATAAAAAAGTTATCTAGGCTCGGCGCCTATGGCTCAACTGGCTAGGGCGCCAGCCACGTACACCTAAGGTGGCGGGTTCGAATCCCCAGCCCGGACCCGCCAAACAAC